CCCCACCCTTCACTCGGAGTCTCAGAGCGGCTTACAAACTCCTTTCCCTGCCCCTCCCCACAGCAGATACCCTGTGAGGTAGGTGGGGCTGAGAGAGCTCTTTCCAGATCTGTCCTTGAGAGAACAGCTCTAACAGAACTATGGCTTGCCCAAGGTCATCCAGCAGCTGCAAGTGGAGGAGTGGGGAATCAAACCTGGTTCTCCCACCAAACTGGTCCCCATTCCACTGCCTTAGGACCAGTGTTCCCTCTAAGCTGAGTTAGTGTGAGCTAGCTCACAGTTTTTTAGCCTCCGGCTCACACATTTTTGTCTTAGCTCATGAAGGAGGGCTCCAGAGTAACCTAATTTATGCAGTAGCCAAGTCGCTCACTCACAACTTTGATGCCAGTCGCTCACAAAGTGGAATTTTTGCTCACAAGACTCCACGGCTTAGAGGGGACATTGCTTAGGACTCCCCCCCACACACACACACTACCATCTCCTTCTCCTGCATGAATGAACCAGGCCTCATGGGGCTGCTCTGAACTCAGTCTAGGGAAAATTAGAGTTACTTTGGAGGCATTGCAGAAGATTTATTTCCAGTTCAGCTGAGATCTATTTGCCTGGAGCGCAACTTCATTCTTTTCTATCATAGTGCCTTCAGGGTACCAGAGGTCTGACCAGCTTGCAGTTTGGCAGCTCATTCTAGTCATACTACGAAGCTATGCTTCCTTCTGCTTCCCAGCACCATAGAGCCAAGAACATAGAATTGGGGGGGGGCAGATTTCTTTGGTTGCCTCTTCCACTATTCACCCCAGGCCCAGTTCCAGCCTGAGCCTACCTGGACTGAAGTGAGAGACTAACCCCATTACCCAGAGATCCATTCCTCACATAGTTAAATATCCAGGTTCCCAGCACCAAATAGAACATTCCCCAAATACTGGGGAATTTGTGTACCTCCAAAATCCAGTATTTTAGTAGCATCTGTACTCATGGTAGCAGGCTATAGGGTGTCCCGGCTCCCTAGCAGAGGGGCCTCAAGTCCATGGGGTGATCAGAGCCATTTCAGAGCCCAGCTTGGCTCACGAGCTACTAGCAGACTCTGTTACTCCAGGAACTTGTGAATGTCCCCATGGAGCTGGTACTGGGGACCCATAGCAGCTTCACTGAGCTGCCAGCAATGAGCTGGGCCACACTGGCAGGTGTGTATCATCATGACGTTCTTGGAGAAGAAACTTCCATCTGGGCAACGGAAGGTTATGCTCAACGTGCGAGTGCGCAAGGGTACGCAACAACGTCCATCCAGACACCCCCCCACAATAGCTGGGTTGGTAATGGCGTGAGCTCTTGCAACCGGCATAGCTGAACCTCACCGGTTCCTGTACCTTGTTGGTCCTCAGGCACTTCTTGCCTTTCTGAAAAAAAGAGAGGGAAGCATTTAGCACAGCACATGTGGTCTCCTATAATTGAGAAAAGGGGTGCTAGGAAGGCTATGAAGCTAATCTGAAACTGAAAAGCACATTGCATTGTACAATTGGGGTTGGGGGGAGCTGACCTCTTTCCATTCCCATCTTGCCTAATCCTACAGACCATATTCATGAACACTTAATAGTCTTAGCTCTCATCTCGCCTGTTTTTCCTGACTGTCGCCAGCTCACATTTTTAGATATTCATGGCATAGACCCCGTTTCCCAAGAGCTGAATTGTGGTTGCGATATGGTTGCCACTTGTAGGCTGGGAAATTCCTGGAAATTTGGGGGCACAGCTTGGGGAGGCCAGAGATTGAAAAGGGAGCTCAGCAGGGAGATTACAGAGTTTACCCTCCAAAGCTGTCATTCCCTCCAGAGGAATGGCAGATCTGAAGATCGGATGTAATTCCGGAAGAACCGCAGGCCTCACCAGGAGGTTGGCAACCCTAGGTTGTGAGCAACGCTCTCCACACTCTTCCCACTTCACCTTTAGCTTGGTAAAATCAGGTTGCCCACAGGGCCTGATCTGACACAGCCGGGTCTCTTTGATCAGTTTGCACTGGGGGTTGGCACTAGTGATACGGGTGGAGATGCCGAAGCCGCAGCTCTTGGAGCACGGTGACCAGTCTGTAGTCTGAGCCAAGCACTTGTGCTGCTGTTTTGACACATGAGCCTGGAAGAGTGGCCTCCACACTGCAGAGAGAAGGAAAGCCCTGTTATATCACCACTGCACCCATGAAGGGAAAATGAGCAAATTTAAGTACTCCTGGAACCTGTGCAAGGTAACAGTGAGCTTGGGAAGGGAGCAAGACAAAGAATCAGACAAATGCAGCAGAACCACGAGCTATTCATCCTAAGCACAGCCTCCATCTCTGTAGACAAGTTGCTTCTGAACACCAGATGCTGAAGACAAAACAGGGGGAGACAACTGGCTTCCTGTCTTGCCGTGTACCTCCTAGAGGCATCTGCCTGATCACTGCTGGAAACAGAATGTGAGACTAGGCTGACCTTTGGTCTGATCTAGCAGGTCTCTTCTTATGACACGGGCCTATCTCTCTGCCTCCTGATTAGCTACACAATTCAAAATGTTAATGGCAGGAAGATGTGAAGACAAACCTGAAAAGTACTGAGACTTACTAGTGAATTCAGCTCTCATACTTTATTAGGTGAAGAACAAGATGAAAGTTACCGGCTCGCAGGCCGGCTTATATGTGCACTCAAACCCACACCCCACACCAGTGATAGGTTATTTACAGTGGCCGAGAGTTCCATAGGCTCTTGGCCGGGAGCCTAGCCCTCGGGTTGGTGCAGGCTAGGATCCGCTTGGCCCATTGTCTCTAGGAGCGAAGCTCGGATGCTTCACATGACCACGTGTAGACCTAGCCTCGCACGTGGTTGGAGATGAGTACATTACACCCCTCCCCCCTTGGTCCTAAAGATACCCACACACAAAGTCCTGCAGATAGTTGGGCACTTTCCTTGTTCGAGTGGAGTGGCGAGGTATGGGAACCGGGGCAGGGGTTGACACCGATGCACTTGGATGGGAGCTGGTCGGTGTTGGCGGCTGTGGTTCCTGTTGCGCCGCTTCCCTGGGAGTGGCCGCACTGTCTGCAGGTGGATTGATGGGAGGTAGACCGGGCGCCTCGTCTGGCTGGGCAACGGAATCTGGTAGCAGAGGTAGACTGGCCACCTCAGGGTTGTCCAGGTTCTCGAAGTCCTCCGGGTCATACGGCAGTACCCACCGGCGCAGCTGGTCGATATGGCAGTGGAGTATCTGGCTGTCCTCACTGGAGATCTCGTACGATCGTGGTCCCCTGACTCTTACCACCCGGGCCGGAATCCATGGCGGGCCCTGCGTATAATTCCTGGTGTAGACCGGATCCTTGGGGAAGAATCCCCTGGCTGCCTTGGGTGACTAGGTGGCCGGTTCTTCCTCCGGGGCTCGATCGGGGTGAAGGCGATCCAGCCGGGATGTCAAGCGCCTTCCCAGGAGAAGCTCCAGAGGGCTGCATCCCGTCGTGGTGTGGGGTGTTGTTCTCTGGCCGAAGAGGAAGGCTGCCAACTTGTAATCCTAGTTCTTACTGTCCAAGCAGCGGAGTGCTTCTTTGGTTGTCCGAACCATGCACTCGGCTTGGCTGTTGGTTGCAGGGTGGAACGGGGCTGATCTGACGTGGCAAATCCTGTAGTACCGGGTGAAGTCCTGGAACTCACTGGAGGTGAACGCCATGCCATTGTCTGTGACCAGGGTGTCGGGGATACCCTGGGCACTGAAGATGTGCCACATGGCCCGTATTGCTGCTTTTGAGGACATGGACAGCACCGGAACTACCTCCAGCCACTTGCTGTAGGCGTCCACCAGGATAAAAAATAGTTGACCCTGGAACGGGCCCACGAAATCCAAGTGCAACCTGGACCAGGGTCTGTGTGAGGACTCCCAGGCTCTAGCGGGGGCCCTGGGTGGCTTGGGGTGGGATTCCTGACAGGGCTGGCATCTCTTCACCTGGTCCTCAATGTCCCGATCCAACCCCGGCCACCAGATGTAGCTCCTGGCCAGGGCTTTCATCCGGACCACCCCCGGATGTGTCTCGTGTGTTAGGACTCGTTCCCTTAAGGGGGTCGGGATCACCACCCTGCTTCCCCATATCAAGAAGCCTTTGTGCGCAGATAGCTAGTCCTTGTGGGAGGTGAACGCCGTGAAGTCCGCCGCCCCCCCAGGCCTGAGGGCTACCCCCTTCTCACCCAGTCCAAGACGCAGCAAAAGATCGGGTCCTTGGCAGTGCGGCACGCTACTTCCTAAATGTGCACTGGCTGGTCGGGGAGAGCCTCCAGAAGCATGATCTGATGGGCGGGGGCCAGGGTCAGCTCCGGCTCCATTGCAGGCAGAGGAAGGTGGCTCAAGGCGTCGGCGTGTCCCATCGCTTTCCCTGGCTGGTGCATGAGTGAATACGCGCATCCTGCCGAAAAAACAGACCATCGGAGCACCCGGGGCAACGTCATCTGTGGGGTCTGGCGGTCAGGGGCCAGTAGGCCAAGAAGCGGTTTGTGGTCAGTCAGGATCGTGAAAGGCCAACCATACAGGTAATGGTGAAATTTTTTCACCCCAGCTACGATAGCAAGCGCCTCTGTCAATCTGCGCATACTTGCACTCCACAGACGACAAGGTGCGGGAATAATAAGCTACCTCCAGCCACTTGCCGTCTGTCCGGTAACTGGTGGCCCAGGACCACCCCGACCCTGTACGAAGAGGCATCACAGGTGAGGACCACAGGAAGCACCTCATTGAAGTGGCAATGGACCAAGTTGGAGATCAGAAGGTCCTTCACTGCTTGGAAGGCAGCGGCGTGCTCTGGCCCCCAGACCCATGGAATGTTTTTATTGAGCAGCCGGTGCAGGGGTTCCACCACTGCGGCCTTCAGGGAGAGAAAGGAATGATAAAAATTTAATAGGCCGTGGAAGGCCTGCAGTTTGGACTTGGATGTGGGTGGAGGAGCCTGAGTGATCGCGTTTGTCTTGCCATCGGTGGGGTGAATGCCCATGCTGTCCACAGCGAAACCCAGGAACTCCACCCTGGGCACCCCCAGAAGACATTTTTCCCATTTGACTTTCATGCCGGCGGAGTCAAAACGGTGTAGCACTGCCCAGAGACGTTATGCGAAGGCCGAGGCATCCGGAGTCGCGATGGGCACGTCATCTAAAAACGGCTGAACTCCTGGGATTCCTTTTAGGAGAGAATCCATGAAATATTGAAAAATGCCTGGCATGACCGACACCCCAAACTGCAGCCGATGCACCTTGAAAGCCCCCCTGTGAGTCGCTATCGTTTGGGCTTTGGCAGTGGCAGCATCCATCGGCAGTTGCTGGTATGCCTGAGCCAAGTCCAGTTTGCCAAAATCCAGGACCCCGCAAGTTCGGCTAACACGTGGCTGACCACTGGCACAGGATAAGCGTGGTCTTGGAGGGCCTTATTCAATGTGCACTTATAGTTGGCACAAATACGCACGTCACCGTTAGGCTCGACTGGGGTGACTATCGGAATCTCCCACCATGCGGAAGCAACCGGCTCTAACACCCCCTGTTCTACCAAGCGATCAAGCTCTGCCTCGATCTTTGGCCTCATAGTGATAGGGGGTGCCTGTCCTTTACCCTGATGGGGCGGCCGGCCGGGTCGAGATAGAGGGATAGGGGGGCCCTGGTGTAGCACCCGAGCGTGCCGTCAAAACCCCGGGGAAATTCGTTGCCACTCCCACACTTACCCCTATTTTTGTTCAGTGTCTCCCAAGTCCCAACATTGTCTCCTGAATGCAATATTGCCACAAAGCAGTTTAAGGAACAGACCCATCATCAAACTGCATTGTCACATAGTAAGCAGAAGGCTTTTAAGCCCTACAGTATAACTGACTTATAAACATCCAGATATGTCAACCTAATACATTGTTCCTTTCACTACCAGCAAGTGGAAGCTGGTAGTAAGGCACCCATCACTGGTGGAAGCTATTCTTTTCTTATCATGCAGATTTCCACTAGGCAGATGCCTCATGCAACTCTCTACTGTACAGTGCATTGGGGGGGATGGGGGGGGTCAAGAGAAGTATTCATAAACAGCAAATAATTCCCCCTAGCATACATCATGTAAGGCTCTTTGGCTAAGTAACCTCAGATCTCCAAAACACCAGTATAAAAAAACATGATTGCCTGTACGATTTCCTTTGATGGGTTTTCAGAGAACTTCAAATACAGACTCTGAGACTTTTACATGTTAACATAGCAAAGGAGACTGAAAGCATCCCATTGACAAAGCTTCAGTAACAGCCCCCCACCAGCACAAGTGCTTTGCATCCCTCCCCCCAGCCCACTTACCTGGTAGGTTTTTCCAGTGTCCACCTTCGTCCACATAGATCAGCTCATTGCCATTTGCCTCTCCATGCCAGTCATACTCAAAGGTGATCCCTCCATACTTCTTGAGACCTTCGCTGCACACAAACGTCTTGCAGCATTGACCGGGTACCTTAAGGAGCCGGAGGCTGGAGCAACCCAGCAAGGTCAGAGGCAGCTCTAAGGGGCACAGAGGCTGGCAGCCCACAGCCCCATCAATGCAGGTGCACTGATGTTTGCAGTTGGGCTGAAAATTCTCTCCGTTTTGGTAGATGTGGCCATTGTATTCACAGGTCCGGCCTTCTTGTTTGGCTAGGAGGTAGGAAAGGGGGGGGGAGATGTACTGATGTATGTTATTCTGTCTTAGGAGTCAAATAAACAATATACTCAGGCACTCAGACATGAGGATGTGCAACAAAGGCATATGGATTGTGTCCAAGCATGATGGGATAGTGTTGGGCAAAACTACCATGCAAGAAAGGCCTTGGTGTCCAAATGTTCTGAAGGTCAGCCCAGCAGTCCTCCATCCTCTCGCTGTATGACCTTCATGGTCATTAGAAAGCAACAATAGCCAAACAGATCACAGAAGACCTGAGGTCAGTTCCTACTGTTCTTAAGACAAAACCCCAGGCCAAACCAGGAAGAATCTGTATCAACAAAGCTTTACATAGTCTGCAGCTGTGGATCAGGCCTTTGGCCCCAGCATGAGAAGTGGGAGTAAGGCACCCACCATTGCCCAGCAGAGTAGAGTTGTTAGGGGTCATGTCAACTAGAGAGGAGTGTTTTCAGCTTTAAATAGCTGTGTGAAAACAGGATATGAAGATCAGCTTGCAACAGTCTAGGTCTGTGCTGGAACTGGGGAGACTTCAGCTGGCAGCAGAACCCAGTGGAAACTCAGTGAGACCGAGGTCTATTAAGACCTGGCCTTTGTCTTCCTGTCTTGTAGCTCTTCAGCCTGTTTTCCACTTGCTCTCACCTTAGCACATGTATTCCTGTGGAGCTATGACCAAGCTTCTCACACTTTCCAGTGGGGCACAAGTAGGCTTGCCACCACAAGAGCCCCAAAACAAGAACACATTGTGAGATCCTAAGATGATGATGTATTAAATTCATGGGAATTTCAACAGTGACCAGGTAATATATTAAATTAAAGTTGTTTTCCCAATTATGGTACAAAGGAGCACTTCGTTTCACTACTAAATAAGGAACCGTTCCTTAACATAAGAAGCAAGCAGAGGTGAAAGGTTCAGAAACAATCCCAGATACAGGGACTGCGGTGTGTCTATAAAATATAATAGACACAAGGAAAACTGATTGTCCGTGAGAGAGAGGGCTTACATATTGTTTGTTGTTAATGGGCATGCTGAAAAGTACTGGGTTCGCCGCATGGAGGACTCAGACGACAACATACTGTAGCACACGTTTATTGTACTTCACATAGACAAAGATTAACTCTAACGGCCGGCAGGCCAACTATAGACAACACCACCCAGCAACCCCCCATTCTCATTGGAGGGTCTGAATGTCCCACCAACGTGGCTATTGGTTGGGGCTGGGGGATCCAGGATCCAAGGTTTCCATTGTTCTAGGATCCAAGCTCTTACTTGTGCCGCGGACGCCTGGTGCGGGTCCGCGTACATAACACATGCCTCCTAAAAATAGGCCTGCAGGTGAGAGTGCTATCCTTTTTTAACCTATACACCTTAGGGTGGACGGGCTATTTAACCTACCAGGAAATTCTGGGATGTATGTGTGTATTTGCCCTTAAAGTCTGCTAGCAGCCAAGAGTAAGTGGAGTCAGACTCCAGCAGCTCCACCAGCTCTGCAAGAGCTGCTCGGCTCAGACCCTTCAGCAGCAGCAGCAGCAGTGATGGGGGCCAGGTCACCCGTTGCCTCCTTCTGCACTGCTGCCACTCATTATGCATGAGCAGATGTCCACTATCGGTGCTGCTGTCAGGATCTGAGCCAAGTGGACCCTGAAGTGCTGGGCTTTCAGCAATGCAGGGGGCATTCGGTTTGGCTTGTCCTTGAGCCACTTAAATGCCCCACTTCCCGTGTACACATCTGTTCACCCTGATCCTAAAGGTCTGTGGCAGAGCAGCATTGCCAGCATGGTGTAGTTAGTAAACAGTCAAATTAGGATCTGGCCCAGGTTCAGATCCCCACTCTGTCATATACACTTGCTGGATGACCTTAGGCCAGTCACACATGCTCAGCCTAACCTACCTTGCAGGGTTGTTGTAGGAATAAAATGGAGAAGGGGAGAACCTAGTTGTGTCCCCATTGGGAAGAAAAGACGGGTATACGTGAAATAAAATAAAAATATATAATATTTGTGGGTTTTAGCATTGTTTAGAGAGTCTTTACTTGATGGCTGTTATTCTTGTACCTTGTGTCATGATTTTATTTTTTTGTCTGTTTTATTGTAATGGATTATTTTAAATTCTTGCTTTTAGATTGGAGGCCTACATTGGTTCAAAGTAAAGAGGTAATTATTTTAAATAAATCTCCAAGACAGAATCCACATGAAGTGGGGCACACTTACCAGACCCTGCATATGAGATTTCAGGAGATGGGAACATATGTCAGTACAGTACAATCGAATCAGAACCCTATTCATGTGTATTAAATGGTGCTTACCACCAGGAACGTGTTCATAGGATTGCAATGCAAGTCCATTTAATTCAATGAGTTTAGAAGTGTGTACTCTGTTTAGGAAGGACTATACTGTAAGAGATACTGAACAGGAGATTTCAGAAAAGGAAAGGAACTACCCCCCCCCCAAAGGAATGTTATGTATTTACACAGAGAACAATCCCAATTACAAGCACATTGTGTTTATGACCCAATTTCCAGATACAAAAATACAGAGGGAAAAATTATAATCCACAAATTTTAAAAATCCAGTTCAACATTACTGACAGTCAGTATAACTATATGATGGTCAATCAAGCCTTTCTGTATAACAACATTCACAACACTATGACAGAATGCTGCTGAAATTGCCTGTTACAGTCAAAACCCAAGGTGGGCAGTAGGCCCCTCTCCCTGAGTTTAACTCAGACGATAACAGACTCATTTGTTATGCCAACTTCTCCAGGAAATTCCTGGAGACCCAATCCAAGTTATCTACCAAGGAAAATTGGGTGTTTGTGGCTGTGCGTAAGTTCTATACCAGTCTATACAGAGGTCGGATGGCGAATGAGACGCTCGGCTATATCCCAGGAAGTGAGACAACACGCTAGTCCTTAAATAAATGTTGTCTTTACTAAAGGTTTCTTATTCCAGACTGACAGGAAATTTCACACGGCCTGAAGAGGGCAACTTCCTCAGCAAAACAACCTCATCTGCTCTGGATTGCCTAGAAGCTCCACCTTTTCTGATTCTGCAAACTGGTTTTCGATCCCGCCAGGAGAGAGGGAGTGGTTTGCCCTGCAACCCCCCCTGGCATACCTAAGGGGGTGTGTGTGTGTGACAGGATGCCACAGAGTGCCATCCACATTCAAAGGGAGCCACAAGAGAGTCCTATAGGTACTCTACTATCCTTGGAGATCTCATGCATCCATCTTCCGCACTGCTCCCCACATGCCTGTGGACTACCAAGCCTCTTCTCCTACAGACAGAAACAGAAAACCTTTATTCGGCATAACATAGATAAATCAAACAAAGGAAAAAGTTAAAGGGTAGGTACAAGGAACAACATCAACCAATATTCCCAATATCTCAAAATACAAGGCAATCCTAGCATGGTTTACAAGGTTTACAGGATAACTCTTTACTTCCATACATGGGTCAGAAATTCTGCAACAGATAGCGTTATTGCTGGGCTCTTGTCTGCTAGAAAGAAATTTAAATCCCTATCCAGAAAGTCTCTCTGCGAAGGGAGAAGAGGGCGAATCAAAATATTGCGCATAACGGAATATTTAGGACAACGAAAAAGAATATGGGTGACAGAATCAGGTTCCCCAAAATTACAGTTGCAAAGTCTTTCCTTATACGGAACACCCCTGTATCTACCTGAGACCACTACTGAAGGGAAAAGGTTAAACCTTGCAAGCATAAAGACCCTCCTAAAAACTGGGATTGTCAAATTGGCAATATACGGTACCATGGATGTATGTGACGGAAAGAGGGGTAATGAGTAGGGAGAGCAAACCCCAAGACTGCCAGCATTAATGATCTGCACTTCTATATCCCAAATTCTCCTCCTGACCACCTGCAAGATTGCTACCTCACCACAGTTATAAAGGGGTTCCAGGTCAATACCTAGGGTACCCACCTTTTTCACTATGGCCTGTGACCACTCTGATGTATAAGGGTCAGTTAAAAGTTGGACCATTAGGCTAGCAGGGGGAGATTGAAAGTAAAGCCGAAGCCAACATTTGATCGTAATGATCCAAGCCCAAGATTCTACCAAGTGAAGGCCCATTTCCTTGTAAAGAGCAAAGAGAGACACTGAGTTGGAGACACCAAGAATCCTGCGCAAAAAGGTGGAGTAGATGCTCTCGACTCTCCCTCTTCTCCTAAATCCCTAGATTGGTGCCATTTCACTTTTCTGTTTTCATTGATCCTAAGAGATTAACCCATTAATGGCAACATAGGATATGATGAGAGCTCCAGAGCTGCTGCTCCTCTGGAGGAAGCTGGAGAAGATTGTATCTTTGGCCCCACACACAAGCTGCTGTCATCAATCCTGAATGGGGGCTCTGCCTGACCCCCTCCTTAATGCCCCCCCTTCCTCCTCTGGTTAAAAAAGCAAAACAAAACACGGAGTCATGGTACCCCTCCAGTCGGATTTCCAAAGTCTAATCACTACATCAGCAGGC